TTACATCTAGAAATGTGGTTTTGAAAAGAGTTTATCGACTTTGAAAATTTAATTTTCTTTGAAAATGTGACTTCTAGGTCGGGGAGATTCCCCATAGTTGTAAAACCACAAAAAGTGAAATATCTTTTCTTGTGTTGGCCAGATGATATTTTCTTTTACTGGACATATTTTAATTTATATAATAACTTATAACTTATGATATACCAAATTAAAGATAATTAAATTCTTCCCTATACACTGCTGTATAATATGAAATGGTTTTAACAATAAAATCAATATTTATTTTTGAAATATGAATGAGCCATTTATTTTGGACCACCATGTACATAACATGACATAACATACAAGAAATGCAACACAACAAAACAAAACACGATTCAACATAACATAACATAACATAACAACATCATTATACACATAAACATATTATCAAATTTGTCAATAGACAGGTTCCAATTTAGATAATTCAAGTTTTTGAGGCATTTTTTAGAAAAAGCAACAGACCTATTTTTACTAGATCAGTTTTTCATGCTGATAATGATATTAAAAGATGACAGCTCAACAGGATGGCGGTGACACTGATTTTTGGCATTTTTACCCACCTAGGAAAATATTCTAGGGGGTACTATGAAACTAGTTCATAGCTCAAAGCATATATGAGCTATTCTACACCATACATTGCTAGTACATATATGAATACTATCCTGAAGACATAGGTTGATACCCTTATTGGTCTCAGAGTCAGAAAAATACAATAAACAGGAAAAAGATACGCAATTTTTGTCTTGCCAATTTTATATTTGTAGCTTCAAGCAAAATATGACAGCTTTAACAGCTCAAAGTAGTATTCTAAAAACATTTCCAAGCTTTGTGCGATATTGTAATACATCTATTTTAGTTATGAAGTACTATTTTGTAATTTTAATATGACTTTATAGTGCCCTACCCCTGGAAAATTGAAGAAAGTGGGTGTGGTGAATTTTATCATTTTGCAGCATTAAGTTAGAAACATGTATTGATAGACACCAAATCAATGAATTCAAACCATCATCAAATGTTAGGTGACATTCTAATTCATTTATTACTAGAATATAGGACTTAATATATTTTATATATAAGTTTTCAATTTAGTACATGTATCATAATGAAATCTAGTGTAATCACATACTAGAGAGGTTGGCAAACAGTCTGGACATTGACTTAAAGTCTTAACATTATAATCATCAATTGATCTCATTTGAGCAACTAGACTATGGTGGTCATCGGGCACAAGTAATGTACTACAGTGTCCCATGTACTAGGTCATGAGTCATTTGAGCCATATATACCTCCTGGTAAATACCTTTACAACCCATTCAGAAGGGTAATTTACAATGTGCAAAACATGGCAAAAGTTCCGTAAAACTGTTAGTTCTCATCATCTGACCATATCATATAGCAGAGTCCGCATTAAGCCATGATGCATCACAGCCAGATGTTAGAAAAGTAGCTAAGAATCTTTATTAACCAAAGATGACTTTCTGGTAGTCAACCTAGCTGCAATATGCATAAAATCAGACCAGGTTTGCCTCTTGCTCATAGCTGTAGGAGTGGAGCCATGTTCAAGCATTGCAGCCAATACATGTACTTGCTTCTTATTAATGGTGGTAAGATTGTCAAACAGTGCCAACATCACTTACTCCAGACACAGATACCACAGATGGTGCCTCACACTTGTATAACTAAGTGTAACTTATTTATTATTATTTGGGAGAATTTGAACATTTCCCCCTTTTTACACTTTGAATTTTAAACAACATTACCAATTAATAACATATTTTGGATCTTTTGGGAGATATTATATTTGAGATTGTAAGAAATACATTGCTGGTTGGTCAACTGTACATGTTGCTTTCAATTTTGTTTACTCTATATAGATCTGATTCTGCCTTTAAATACCAAGACTTCAGTTTACTTCAACTGTCATGACTACAGCATTTGATAGTATTTGCATAAAAGGAGCATGTAGGTTATCGCAAACAACTTCAGACAATTCTAACTTGAATTATGAATATTTTCTGACCATGAACATGGGTATATCCTTTAGATCTATTCATTATCTTCAAGAAAGGTAAATATAATTATAATGAATTTAATCAGACCTAAATGAACAACATACTTTTTACTAAAAATGTTGACCTAATTTTTACCAAAAATGCAACCTTTAATTATATTGTTGAATGCATAATTAGAATGTGCTTTGAGACATGTTCTATTTCCTAAGAGGAAAAGTGGATTGCTCCAGAGACTTTAAAGATACTGAATTTGGATGACCAAAATGAACTGAAACCAATGGATAGCATGATTTTTTTCAATGGGGAAATAACATGGGGAACACTTATCTTGGGGAATTCAGTTTTCCTTTCAAGAGCTATTTGATACATTAAAATAAAGAATAGTAATGTAAATATTGTAAAAAATTATTGCATTTTTGGTGAAAACAACTTTGAAAAAATATATTGATGGGTTGATTGCTAGCGAAATATCTTCGAGTCCGATTGACTTTATTATCCCTGTATACCTGTCGTCATGGTCAGAAAATAGTCATAATCAAAGATTTTACTGTCTGAAATTGTTTCTGATAATGTACCTGAAGCTTTCCAGGTCAAATCAGGAGTGACAAAATTATTTCCACCAGATTTTTGACATGTCTTCATATACAATAGTATGCAGTACTTCTGCATAAGATAGGGTGTCACTTGTGAAATTCATTGATTGACCTGAGATTGTACCATATCTTTATGCCATAGAAGCGAAATAGCCATATTGAACTTTGATGAATGTTGTTTGCCACTTTTCGACAATTGTCAAAATTTGGGGGTTTGGGGGAGGGGTACAATTAGGAGCACTGATTCACCCGAGAGCATAACTTTTTCAAAACATGTAAGTTTTTTTTGGACCACTCACATTAATTTTTTGTCTAATTTTCCCTCAGAGTTTCCTCATCTTGCCTTCCTTTGCAGTTTGAGAAGATTCGGCATTAGGTGTTATAAGTCCCAGAGCACGATAAATAAAAAACAACAACAAAATGACATAGAACTGATAAACGTTTTCTCTTGTGCGTGTCAGCCATGGTCTACCAAATTGCTATTTAGTAGGAAGAAACTCATTTTTCAGTTTCCATTTTAATTTCCTGACAAATAGAGCGATCATCCCAGGATTTTTTCTATGATCTATGTGTCGCATAGCAACTTCTGTTTTAGAGAAATTGCATGAACAATAGAAAAGATTATTTTACCATAATTTTAATCATCCCACATTGTAGACATATTTAGAATTAAAAATATGAAGAGAATGACAAAACCTCTTAAAACACATTTCTTAGGAAACAAATAGTGTGGTATTTTTGTTACTATGGCAACAGAGTTTTTTCTTTTTGTCATTTTGTCATACAGATTACCTATCATTCCAGGACCAAATCCTGAAAATTTGAAGTTAGTATGTTCATTAGTATCTAAGATATATAGGTTTCTTATATTATCCCATGCAGATTTTATTGGAGTGTAAGGAAAATGCTCTGAAGAGGGTTGCCCAAGGATGCCACTTAACAGTTCTGGAATTTTTGAGGTCCCAACCCTCTATTCATTGGAATAGTTAACCATTGTAAAGTTACTCATGGTAAACTGACAAAACTGATTGTATCTTCAACTAAGAAGTCAATAAAATGTTAAAACCAGAAGAAACCCACACCAATTTTCTTCTATTTACCAGGGGTAGGGCACTATAAAGTCATATTAAAATTACAAAACAGTTTATCAGCACTATAATAGATGTATTACAATATCACACATAGCTTAGGAATGTTGTTAGAATACTACTTTGAGCTGGTAAAGTTATCATATTTTGCTTGAAGCTACAAATATAAAATAAGCAATAAAAAATGACAAAAATCGCATATTTATTTTCTAATTAATTATATTTTTCCGAAACCAACAAAGATATCAACCTATAACTTTAGGATAGTATTCATCTCTGTACTAAAAATGTATGCTGTAGAACTCAGAACAATAGTTCATATATCCTTTGAGTTATGAACTAATATTATAGTACCCCCAAGAATAACTTCCCAGGGGGGTAAAAACGCTAAAAATCAGTGTCATCGCCATCTCGTTGAGCTGTCATCTTTTAATATCTTTATCAGCATGAAAAACTGATTCAGAAAAATAGGTCTGTTGCTTTTTCTAAAAAATGCCTCAAAAACCCTTTCCCTTGAGATATTCTGAAATTGGAACCTGTCTACAATTCTTATTATGATTAATTAACACGTTTTGATATCATTCGCCCTAAATAGTTTATGTTAGAGAAAATACTGTCAATACTATGTCAATATCTATCATGATAAATTAACACTTTTTTTCTTTATTCCATTCATTTTAGTTTATACAAAATCGATTGTGATCAATTAACACTGTTCTTCTAATTGTTTAGTAAGTCTTTTTGATATAAAAGAATAGAATCCCTCTGAGAATAAAGAGAATCAGATAAATTGCTAAACCTAAAGTTTTTAGTACTTCGATCTTCACCTACCGATGGGTTACAGTTTGCAGTAGATCGGGGAAACATTCAATTTTTATAGATCGATACAGAAATAAATATTTTGAATTTTTTTCAAAATAAAATATTTCATTGGTTAACCCAACAATCTATTGAAACTAAAATTGCTCGCCGTTTGCCCCCGTGTGAATACGTTAGAGCAGACGGCGGGGCTAGGCACGGTGGGCAAAACAAATACTAGATATGTAGTTTGACAGCAAGATATTCCCCATCACACCAATTACAACAATAGATAATTAATTAATTAAAAGATTAATGCCCAAGAGTACCCCCAAGGTGGCGAATTGTGGCCCAAAACGGTAAATGTTAGTCTTGCTTAAAGACTGTGGACTCTTGTCTATACAACACTTGTGTCACAAGGGCTCTTGTGGCTTGACTAGGATGTACAATATGTACTTTACATTTACCTTTTCCCGTAGATTCCATTCTGGAGGCTGTGTTGACTGTATCACCAAACAAGCAATACCGAGGCATCTTAGTACCCACTATACCTGCTACGCAAGGTCCTACGGTAAAGAGCATTCAAGTTTCAATTTTTTTTAACTCTAAATACACTGTGCCACAGCTTGATGACTCTAACTGCAGTTAGCTTCATTCAAGACTGTTGCCGAGATTCTTTCGTTTTCGATAAACCTTTCAGCTAAACTAGGTTGAAACTTGATTCCAAAAGTTTCGCCATGCAAATTAATAAAACTACGATTGTATGCAACTACAAATGAATGCCCCAAACACCCGCAATATTAGAGTATTTTAAAGAAAACGGCTTCACAGTTGGAATGACTGAAGTTGATGATCTACGTCATCATTACGTCATCATCAACTTCAGTTAGAGTCATTCTAAGTGAAGCCATTTTCTTCAAAATTCTCCAATATCGCGGTTGTTTCAGCATTTATTTGTGGTTATTTACAATCGTAGCTTTATTAATATGCATGGCGAAACATTTTGAAGTCGAAATAATTTCGGCAACCATGAATGAAGCTAACTGCAATTAGAGTCATCCAGCTGTGGAACAGTGAAATAGGCAAGAGAAAATGTCTGAGAGTGGAAGGTTTTCGAGATGATTTTTAAGCTTTAGAATCTAGGCAATAAATACAATCGGGCAATTTAAAGGAAAAACACAACTATTCATGTTAATAGTTTAAAATAGTTTATTACTATCCATGTTATTCATCTGGTAGTTTGAATTTATAATTAAAAGTAGTCTAGCTACATGACCTTGTATGAGAGGGTGTTTAGTCAAGTAGACTGGGGGTCACAGAGGCTTGTAGCTAGACTAAATCAACAGAATCATCAGTCTTACCCTGTGTTATAAATTATATACTAAGAAGACGGAGCTCTCTTTTGAGAAGTGAAGTCAAACGAATGCAAAGGGTACATCAGTCTCGGACTACGAATTAAATCATAATTTGGATGAAACAGTGTAATATGGTACGCATGGATTTAGTCATAAATATGACATGAAAATGAGGTTCTTCAACAAATCAATGGGTACTTTGATATGCCCAGTGAACTAGACGAGTAAGTAGTACCTGAGTTGATTCCAATTCGTAAATGTACACTCTTTTCGGGCATGTGAGGTACGACGAATGCCGACATCGATGTCCGTAGCTCCAACGCTAGGTTACAGATTTCCGACGCATGCGCCTTTCCATTCCTCTCAGGTAGGCCACTCACGACCATGTAGGAATCCCCAATGGTTTCAACTTTATAAACATCATATCGGTCAATACTTGCATCAAACAAGCTGAAATAAGTGAAATATTTTTTTAGTTTGCTTAGGGCAAGCAACTTCAAAAGATTCAAGTTTAAATGAAGGAATACAGACTGTGAAATGGACTTAAAAACAAACGAGATACCGACCCCTCCGACCAACGACCTCCAAGCATCGTCTAGGGATTTTGAACCAAAGCGTGTGAAGATTGAATGGTCGTCGGGGGTCGGTATTTTCCATACACCCTGGATTACATGTATTATAAAATGGCAGAATGTCAACACTTTGTAAATTATTCCAAATGATTACAGAAGTATAAAAATGTGTCACATACGCTGTGAAATGGACTTAAAAACATACGAGATTAACAATGTGTATGGAAAATACCGACCCCTCCGACCAACGACCTCCAAGCATCGTCTACAGATTTTGAACCAAAGCGTGGAGATTGACTGGTCGGTGGGGTCGCTATTTTTCATACACCCTGGATTACATGTATTATAACATGACAGAATGTCAACACTTTGTAAATTATTCCAAATGATTACAGAAGTATAAAAATGTGTCACATACGCTGTGACATGGACTTAAAAACAAATGAGATAAACGGTGTGTATGGAAAATACCGACCCCCAACGACCTCCAAGCATCGTCTATATTGCAATTCATAGGTATTTTTAAGGAAAAGTAGATTGAATTGAAAACTTTAAATACGTAAATGAACTCAGTAAAATACGAAAACGGGCTCACATCTTTGTTCAGTGGATACGAAAACGGATACAGTTCCTATGTAATATACACGTATCAACTGGTCTGTGTTTAATAACAAATTTTCACCTTTTATTTTTGCAAAACCAGTATGGAAGTATTTCTAGTCCAACCGAAATAAGAAATTTTGTCTGACGGGAATTTAAGGAAAGGTAAATTTTAAACTTGAGTATCATGGGATATAAATTGTACTTATATTTATAACCTGACCACATTTGCATATGATCAACAACTGACTGAGTGATCGAGTTCATTAATCAATGTTCGTAATAGAGGTCATGAACTTTTGCTTTATTCATAATCCTATTTCTGCAACTGACTCATATTATCTTAATAGTGTCTCATAAGCCATTGCTGGCTCGAGACTTTTTGGGTGATTGTATAGATGAATATGTATGAAATTAAGCCTGTGACACTTAAATAAAAACAATACAATACAATAGAATCATACGTCAATGCTATTCATTTCTATGCTACCTTTACTATTCCCCTTTTATTTGGGGCGATTGCATTTATAAATTGCGAAAGACCGGATTTTAAAGCTGGATAAATGCTACGTCGTGATGTTCATTATCTGACATTATATCATATATTTGTTACAAAAGAAAACCATTTTATGTTTTGAAATCTCAATTATCGTGCATCGAGTTCGCGCTCATTCACGTAGGATCTGTACGAAACTTGAAACGGCACTTTCTAGAAAGAAAGCGATAAAAGGAAGCGTTGAAATATTACGGTATCGTGCTAAGACAACCATTGTCAGATTGAGGCATAAAACGAATTTAATATGGCGATCAGGTGTTGTGAACATTAGCTTAATTATGTTGTCTTTACGTTAATGTATGTCATGACAAGAGTCATGATATAGAGGCACCTCGTAGTGGTTATTAATCAATTAGTAAACAAGAGCCTACCCATTGTATTACTCCTTTCAGATATTTCCGTTTACAAACTTGTATATCCGTATATAGTATACGGAGGAGATGAGAGAAGTCTGCAATAAGTGATCAACGTACTTTCTCTAACAAAAAAGGCTCAAAAACTCTCCGTTACAAAACTACGAATTTAACAAAATGCTTCATAACGAAGCTTTTTAACAGGTACCAATGGAGCTTAGCTCATTCTAGAAATTCTAGAACCCTTTTTCATAGTTTGACTTCACTTCTTGCCTTTCGATCATTTTATATTCTCTTTGGATGAAATCGTCTGCTTCTTAATAGTATTAAGAAGTAATATCCTTTGGCGCGTGATATATTCTCACCCCCCCCCCCCCCATCCCCCCCCCCCCCCTTGGCATTCCATCCCCAAAGAAAATTTCCGACAACAATCCCTACCCTTGAGCTGATCAACTGAACGGTCACCAATAAACTCTTTCGTGCTAAGGAAAGATGTTATGAAAGCATGAGCTCATCTTCGTAATTTTACAATCAATAAATACTTATACAAAGCAATATGAAGTATTTGCAAAAGTAATTACTACAGAAACAATAGATAGTCCGTCGCACGGAAATTCCGGGACTTCCCTCCCTGGTTTGGAATCTGTAGATTAATTGCATTAATATCCGCATCCCCCTCATAGAGAAGTTGATTATGTCCAGCGGCGTACTGTAGTCAGAGAGGCAAGAATAGATATAGTGTGGGGATCGAAGCGAAAGATCAAATGAGATATTTTTTATCTTTGGACTTCATTTCCAGTTTTTGCTGAAAAACGTTTGAAAATTAAGTTTTGTTGTTGCAACATGATACAGTCATTGAAGGGTTCAATTTTTCAATTATTAAATCTCAAAATAGCTCAAATTGTTCATTTCTTCAATTCCGGCTTTATTTTATGACTAGACAGATCCATATATAAAGGCATATGGATGCATTTTAATGTGTAATGACCCGAGGGTGCCCCAGGGGAATAAATAATTAACGACCGCGAGCATAGGTCCAACAAGCCAGATAAAGAAATTGAAAGAAAGTGTGTAAATTCGATGCCCCGAGTGGGAATCGAACCCAGTTGGGATGTAGTAGCAACTTGCTATCAAGGGTCGTTACAAATGCATCTTTAATTCATCATAAACTAAGATTTAATAAACTAAGATCTTTAAAATTGAACCCTTTAAAGATTGTGCCATGTCCCACGTACGTGGGTAGGTGGGTATGAGGTAGGGGCTTTTTTATACAAAGCCAGAATCAAAATGTAATAAATACCCTGCAATCAATGAGGACTTTAAACAAAAATGATGAAAACTATTGGAAATGATTAAATATTTTCTGGGTAACAAGCATGCAAAATCAGACATCTTATCAATTATAGATGAAAATTCAAATCAACCCCTCACTAGGCTAATTCATTTTTGACCTGCAAATAAGAATCATCTAAATGAAATTGACAATCAAAATTTGCCACACTAGTTTCGAATGAGAACAAACTCACTGCTGATTTCAGCGAAAACTGATCAGTTTGAAGTTATGAAACTAATTTTGACTCGTGATCCTTTCAAAGCCTGTGGGACAGATAAGATTGCAAATAAAATGTTAAATTTGACCGCAAATTCACTTACCAAACCACTATCGGAACTTTTCAACGAACTCATGGCCAAAAATATTTTCCCCGATATTTGGAAAATTGGCAGTGTTTGTTCTATTTTTAAAAAACATGATAAATCAAAGATTAGCAATTACAGACCAATTACATTACTTAATACATTATCAAAACTATTCAAGGGAAAACCATCTGGTGATTAGGAAGCCTGCTTCAATTATTACTGATGACCAGTAATAATTGAAGCAGACTTCCTAATCTGTGACATACCACAGGGATCAATTCTAGGTCTCTCCTATTCATTTCATACATTAATGATCTTCCAGATAATGTAAATTCCAAATGCTACATCTATGTACTAGATGATACATCTCTTCACTTTATATTTGACCCCAAAAGCCCCAAGAAATTGATGAACTAGTCAAATCCGATCTATCTGAGATTGAAAATTGGTCCAAATTGTGGAAACTACAGTTCAAACCAGAAAAGAGCTGTGGAGTTATTTTCCATTGAGTTAGAGCTAACCATCAAAATGTAAGCAAATCCTATCTATGTGACTCTGAAATTGAAAGAAATGATGTATATAAACACCTTGGATATACCTTTGATCATAATCTAACGAATCAAAAAGAAAATGATAAATGCTTTGAAAAATCTTAAGACTAAGTTAAACTTGAGAGATCTGGAAACGCTCTTTAACTCCTTTGTACGTCCTCATTTCAACTATGGAACTGCTCTCTTTAACAAAGCGTCAAAAATCTTCTCAATAGATAAAATCTACTATCAAGCTGCTCTTGTATGCTCTGGTTGTCTTCATGGTAGTAATAGTGATAAGGTTTTTAATCTTCTTCAATGGTCTTCTTTAGAAACAAGAAGAAGAATGCAAATCAAGGTAGTTAATGGCCCAAAATTAAAAAATCCGGGAACACGAAATTTGCGTGATAGATTTGACTTTATTTTACCAACTACATGTAGGTGCTCAGAGAGGTTCTTAAACTCATCAATACCATCAAACTGGTCACAATTACCTAAAAGATTACGTAACATGAAAATCCATCAATAATTTAAAAAACACCAAAAGATTTTGTTTAAAAACCAAGGAAATTTTATTAGCACTTCCAAACTCAATCTGAAGATCTCATGAAATTATAATTAATTGAATTAATTATAATTCAAAGCCCAACTTTATGCACATAATTTCACATACATTGAGAATCCAAATTGTAATTGTGAAGCTCCTCAGACAGAAATAACACTTCTTTCATTGTCCCCTTATAAAAGAAAATATAACCAAACTAAAAACCGATATTATGGGTACAAGTGGTTCTTTAAACAAACATTTAACTCAGAATGATCTGCTTTACTAAATGAAACATGGTTCAGAGGATTTTTCCTTTGATCTAACTTCAAAACTCCAAATCTTAATCGCTGAATTTATTGTAACAAACCTATGAGCTTTTTCTACTCCGCAACATTACTTTAAATAATATTACCACATTTAATATGTCCCCCCCCATGGCCAACATCAAGTGCAGTGTTAAACCCATTGACCTTATTTGTTTTCATATTGTATTTGGCTTATCTTACCATACCCTTCTATAATGCCCTTGGGCGATTGAAGGGATATATATATTGTAATATCTTGATATGAAAAAAAAGAAAAATGTTCTAAAACTGAGAATTTTGTGACCTTTTCTTTCTTTTCACAGAAAATGTTAAATAATAGCACAAATATGAATGCCTTTCATTGACTATACTCAGGTTTTATGAAAAATATGGTTATTATGGTTACTCATGTTTTGGGTAAGCGGGGCAATATATAAGTATTACCTGTATAGGCTGTTTAAAAAGTTAACGACTTGTAGTGGGGTACTCATCGATGACATGTTTGTAAAGCCCACAATGTCACTGAAAAATATAGTAGCCGCGTCATAGAACTCTGGTGGTACCTCACCGTTCATTTTCAGCTGTTCAGCAATTTGTTTCGGCAACATTTGGTGCAATAGTTTGTCAGCGCGTTTTTTCTCGCCACGAAGCTCCTCCGATTTTGATGCTATCTTAATGGCGAATTTTCTAATTTTTTCATCTATAAGAAATAAACTGCGACAGTACAAACCTCCTAAAATAAGGCATCCGAACGTCATGATTGTCATGACGCAGGAGTATGCTATAACGTCATTAAATGCATTCACAATAACTGAATCTAATTCTACGACAATGTCCCTCGATATCTGACCACTAATGGTATTTATAATGCCAATGTACGTAGTGACGTTGGAAAACCAAACAAAAGACGCAGCGTGCAATTCGTCAGGAGACGAATTATCACACGGATTAAAAGATGTATTAAAAATATTTCTCCTAACCGAATCAAGGTCATTCACTAGGCCACTTTCACCAAGTGTGCTATTGAAAATCTCCATTCCCTTTTCATAGTTCTTGTAAACGAGCTCCATAAGAGCCTCCTTTTTCCCAGCAAGAGACGTGAACCAAACGAAATTCGAGGGGCTCAAGCCACAAGTCGCAAAGAATGTAGAACCAAGGGCGCGCTCAATCCCAATGACATCGGAAAGGCGAAGGATAATTTCACTAGCTACTACGTATCGCCATAGTGTCTCTGAATTTGGTAGTTCCGTTTCGATGGACGTTACCCCGATGAGGTCTTGAATAATCGCCGTATAGTAGTGAATATTTTCCTCCACTGTGATAGGATTTAACAACAGTTTGGTTCGATAGTCTTGTATCTCGTCTCTAAATTTATCTTTCGTGTAGTCCTTATTGTTGATACGATATGTGTGTTTCCATCCCGTTACATTATCCAATGCAACGTCAGTGTTTTGACGCTCTTTGAGCACATTTAGATACGTTTTTTGTTTGAGATCTTCATAAGTTTCACTTAGATACAACGCAGTTTTTCCTCTCTCTATTTGTAAGTTCTTCACAAGCTCTCTCATTTGGTTGCTTAGCTCAATCATTGAGTTAACGTTACTTGCCGTGTTATTTACGTCTATGGCGGCAACCAGGGCTAAGATACTCATTATGATTAGTCCAGTTATCGGTAACATCATCAGCATTAACATTTTTAACGTTTCAAGCTTTTGTCTTCCCGGGTTTTTACTGGCTATAAACAAATCTTTAAGTTGCTGTCGATCTTCTTGGAATGATGATGCAACACTTGGACAGACACTATGAACCTGTGAAAGCCGTCTGTCTTTAGTAAATGGCAACATTATCATCGGAACTTCACCCCCGCTACCTTCTCTAGATCCTTCGACAGCTCGTTGACTGGTACATCCTCTTAAAGTTGATATATATAATATACTTTTCTGATTGATGAATCTATCTCTATTAGATATACCTATAGCTATTTGTTTTGCACACAAGCACTGGAATCAAGGTATTGACCGCAAGGTAAAATGTTATATATATACTGTAACCCGGCTCATATTTGACGGTACGTTATATTTCGCGTTTTTGCGATTCTGTAATTTCGCGGCTATTAGTATTCGCGGTTTTGTAACTTCTCAAAATGTGTTCAGCTTCTTGTTTTAGTTTCTTTGATTAAAATCGTTTAGAATCCGTAATAAATTCAAGAAAAAAGAAATTGGGAGAAAATATCGTTAACATTGAGTGAAATAATTTCTTATGATAATGGTGCTAATATATGGTTTGAAGAATGACTAATAGTGCTGATAACCCAGATAGTCCATGGTATGACTTCCGAATATGAAGGATCCGTAGCACACTGTAGCTCAGCAACATTTCGGGTCGAAAAATGTCTTTCATCACAAGGAAGTTTTCTGATGGTTGTTTCTTCTTTGACTTCAATGTAGGTAGGTCAAATAGGTAGGTAACACCAGGTGGCTAATTCGGGTCAGATAATATGGCAAGTTCCTTTCACCAGTTTAAGTGGATCAATTTTCATATAGCCCCTATGTGGTTGATAGCTGGTATACAAATTATAATAAGTCCAGTAAAAGAAAATATTATCTGTCCAACACAAGAAAAGACATTTCACTTTTTGTGATTTTATTACACGGGGTCTATGGGGAATCTACCCGACCTAGATGCCACATTAATTTTTTAAACCACATTTTAAACGTAGACTTCCAATTTGACATCACTTTGACTAAATGTAACTAATAACATGTACACTTCTTAAATTATTTCACAAATCATTGTAAATACCATCATGTGGCACCTAATACTCCCTCTTGGGGGTCATAGCCACTACAACCTGTAAATATGTAACATTGATTTTAATTTTTTTTTAAATAAAAAAAAACGTTGAAAATTTATCTCGACTATTGCACTTTGTCTATGAGGCTGAAGAGATCAGTTAGTCCATTCATTGACTCAGTGGAGATCTGGTAATAACATCATCATGAAATGAATAAAACCGCAGATACATTTGCTAAGGAAGCATTTAAATCTGCTTAACCCCAACGCTATACTCATCACAATTAAGAAATGCGATATATGAATAATATGAGAAGCTATTACTATGACTAATCTTACACTGTTAATAGACAGACTGGACTCCTGTTTTTGCACAATATTAAGCGTTTTAAAATGATAGATCGCCAAAATCTACATGTACCTCTCAATAAGGTGATATGTTTTTGAAATAGATGTAAGCTATAAACTCAAACAAAAATTCTAACCAAGCGCTATTATTTTGATTGCACAAGACGAAATTTCCACTACTGGGGAGCACTTTAGTAACACTTTGAAGGAGGATTCTTGAAAAATCGTTCGAATTTTCACAAAACGTTCCATGCAATTCCATTGCTTTGTTTAAGCCTCGACTAAAATCATACTCAAATCTGATACCATAATTATAAATTAAAATGAAATATTAAACTCGCCAGAAGATAAACCGTTTTGAGAATTGGTGATTTGAGTTAACTGTGGATATTTATATAAAATGTATTCGACAGTTAATGTACACACATGATACATGCATCAGCGTGTGACTTAAATATCAATTCGTGGCTATCATATTTTTTTTTCAAAAATTAGGTTGGAAGTTAGAGTGGTAGGAGATTAACGAAAACGTCAATCACATCCAAATATCCGAACGACGTCAAGCATTAACAATACACTTTTCGTGCATCCCGAACAAGGCATGGTTCTGTGATCCAGCAATGTGTATTCCGAAAGAAAAAATTCACTGATATCAACAAATTTCATTGAGTAGGAGATTACATTCGGAATGACATCTTTCAAAATATTTGTTTTAACCAAGAATTGTGTAGAACTTGAAACATTTTGTTAGTTTTTCAAACCGCATATCCTCATTTACGTTCTTTGACAACGATGAATCATTCTGTATTTAAACAAGAAAAAATACATTTAGGGTTAGTTCATAATGAAAAATGACAAATAACATACGTAGTTTGAAGTAGGGGTATACAGGAACATCGTGGAAATTCAGAAAATTAGGCCATATCCCCAAGATTGCTTCACCAATATTTAACAGAACATCAAAATTATCATTTACACGTTTGCTGATAGGTTTATTGAAAATAATTAACCAGAGGTTTACTTCAATTGTGGCACCATTCTTAGTAAAATATTGATGAACATACGAATGTCGAATGTTGACCAAGTTACACTCCCCTCCATAAGTTTGGAAACCTTTTTTCCCCATTGAACTACGTGTTAAAGCCTCTTTACGTTTGAATTTTTATTTATTTAACCGGCGATGAAATAACTTATAATATTGATGGAAACGTAACTTGACTTTATTTCCAATACCTCCAAATTTTCTCAATTTTTTTCCTCAATTACAATAGGTCGAAAATTGATGATGAATTTGATGAATTTTTGAAAATCGACATTCCCATGTTAACCAATGGGAAATGGTAGGTTTGCCGCAAGTCATATGACAGAATATCCATCCATCCGAGTCTTTGCAAAAAATACGAGTTAGGCAGGCAATAGAATTTGCTAACTTTAGTTAACAAAAAATTGATATGTTTCTTCAGGTTCAACAAAGTTATAGGGCTTTAAAGTCAAAATTGTTTTTCAAAAAACCTCTCCCATTGAAATAACACAGGAGGCGAAAAATTATTTTCAAAAACGACTTTGAAGCGCTGTAACTTTAATATTCATCCAATAAACTAAACATTTAGTGTTAAAAAAGCTAGACAATTCAATTTTCTATATAAAAATATTTTTTGCTGAATCTTTTACTGATTTATGATTTGCCCCGAACCCTCCATTTCCCATTGGATTACATGGGAATGACGATTTTCAATAATTCATCAAATTTATCATCAATTTTCGACCTATTGTACTAGAGGAAAAAAATTGAGAAAATTTGGAGGTATTTGAAATAAAGTCAAGTTACGTTTCAATCAATATTATAAGTTATTTCATCGCCAGTTAAATAAATAAAAATTCAAACGTAAAGAGGCTTTAACACGTAGTTCAATGGAGAAAAAAGGTTGCCAAACTTATGGAGGGGAGTGTACTTGACTTGACCGGTATATTGTTTGCCGAAACGGTGACGTATGCTATGGCTTGTCGATTTCTTCAATAGTGACACTGGTACGACCCTATACAGTATATATAGGTTATTTAGTGGGAGGGATTGAATAAAACCCATATTCAATCCCGACAAGAAATAACCTAGGCTATTTATTCCATAAAACATTCCTCTAAAATGTTACATTTGGATAATGCTTTTATCAATTAGCCAATATTCAAAATAACCGGGAAACCAAAAATAGGTTAATACGTTCCAATACGATTTTTCCCGGGGGCAATACGATTTTTTCATGAAATACGCTCCAAAACGATTTTTCCCGGGGACAATACGATTTTTTCATGTAATACGATTTTTATTCCTTCATATTTCCCTGGGAAAACAGTAGTATTATAGAATAAATATAGGTTATTTACTGGGAGGGATTGAATATGGGTTTTATTCCGAGGGACAATATGATATTGACCGAAGGGTGATATGATATTGACCGAGGTAGCGCAGCGACCGAGTGTCAATATCATATTTCCCAAGGTCAATATCATATTTTCCGAGGAATGAAACCCATATTCAATCCCGACCAGAAATAACCTATTTATTCCATAACACATTCCTCTAAAATGTCACATTTTGAAAATGCTTTTATCAATTAGCTAAGGTTAAAAATAACAGGAAAACCAAAAATAGGTTAATATTTTCCAATACGATTTTTTTCCCGGGGACAATACGATTTTTTCATGTAATACGCTCCAATACGATTTTCTTCCCGGGGACAATACGATTTTTTCATGTAATACGATTCAATACGATTTTTATTCCTTCATATTTCCCTGGGAAAACAGTAGTATTATGGAATAATAATGTTTCCTTGATATTTGTAACTGTTATTTGTATATTGTTAACCGAAACAGTGACGTACGCTACTGTGGCTTATAATTATCGAGTTCTTCAACAGTGACACTGGAATGACCCTATAGTGTTTTCCTTGCTATTCATAACTGTCAATGGATATCACCGCATATGATCAAGTGATACTCGTGTGCCCGTGGCCCGGCCCATGGCTTCTATAATCGTGAATAGATGGACTCTCAAGATTAATCTGTACTATATTTTTTCGTTTACTTCATACGGAAGCTTGCTGGAAGCTGCGAAACACATTTTCATCTCCCATTAAAAGGAAATGACGAAACAGGAGGTGACAAAAAATTATGCATTTTAAGACATTTTTGAACAAAGATAACAGAGTTCTGGTTTGACCTCCAGTCAATTTAACTATTTCCACATATCATTTACATGATCACAATACAATGTGCATGGTCAATATGACCCTAAACATGACGAAATAACCTTTTCAACCCTTTGAAAATGTGACTGAAAAATAGCTAAAAGTAGGAGCTAGGGAAGGTCACTGAACAGAATCTTAAATGAATTTTTCAGAAAATGTGCCCAATTTAATGCTCTAACTGATACAAGCCAGAGGGGGAGAAACACCAGGGTTCAAAGATGACATACGCTTAATGTAAATCTGTATTGAGATGACACGGTTGCTGATTGGTCAAAAGTCGACAAACAAATGACGTCATCAATGGCGGTTTCAAAATTTTCGAAATACGCCAAGGAGGATTGGCTCCCAGAGTGCAACATCGATATTCTGTCCCATATATGGGCATGTCGTGCTACAAAATTTGAATTCCAACAGCCGCCATTTTGTTCACTTCAACATTTGAATCGTAAATTCTGGTCTTATTTCCTAACGAAAAATTCCAAAACTCACAGGAAATGATTGAGATATTGGTTCGAATCT